GCAAAGCTGAAGCCTTTGGAGTCCCCAAAAGTTGGGCAAAAGGGACAGCTGTTGAATGTAGATAAAAGAGCTTATTTAGGAGTGAGCTTCCAGGAGCCCAGGCTGGAGCATCCCACAGCCCACACAGATCCCCAGGGAGGCAAATATCAAGTCCAGTCAATTTTGCTGTTTTATCTAGAATGGCTTCAGCTGCTGCTGGGAAAGCTGCTCCCTGCTACAGAAGTTTTATTAACAGCATCAGCTGCTCCCCAGTCATGCCTGTAGAAACACAAAATGTTAAATACTGCTTCCATGATAGCCAGCAACATACATGTTTTTTCCTCACCCCATTTTTTTCCCTCCTGCCTCCTGTAGAGAGCTCTCTTAGTTTCCTTCCTCCTTTGCTTTTTGAGCCTTATTGGTTGACTTAAATCAGACTTGGTCTCCAAAGAGTGTATTCTCCCACTCATTTTGTGCAAGCAGGCTGCTGCAAGAAGGGAATACAGCTTCTTGTTACATTTTTCCCTGCTTAAATGCAGGGAGAAAAGGATGCAACAAAGGTTGTACGCAGTGGGGTTAATCCCGGGAGAGAAGGTTGCTAGAAAACCTAGCTTCCAGGCTTGGTCACCTCCCACCAGGCTCTCCTTGGCTGCTGTTATCAGACTCAGGAAAAATACAGGCTAGAAATTGACAATTTCAAGCTAAAGTGTTTTAGGGACATATCTTAGTAGCAAGCATAATGTTGTCTGGATGCAGAAATAGGCAAGATCAGCATTTTCTGGAAAGGGAAAACGGTAGAGATTAGAAAGCTGGGGTGTTGCAGCCCTTTCTCCCAAGGAAACAAAAGCCTGGGCAGTCCCATTGCCCCTGCCATCCCTTCCCAAATACTTCCCAGTCTCATCTTTGTGTAACTTTGTATTTATATAGATATATAGAGACATTTATATATCAATATATTTTTGTGTATTATCTATGAGCTTGTGTTTATATATACACCTTTTCCTCCCATACTAGCCTGGCACAAGGCACAGGAGAGGGAAAACTAAGGAAAATCCATCAGCTTGATTTTAACTGGCACAAGTATTTTATTTAACAGGCAGGCAGAATAGAGCCCTTCACACATGGAATACAGCAGCAGGACACATTTCACCCCAAACGATCTTGAATCAGACTATAGGAGATAGCACTTTCTCTTTCCCTCCTGCATACCTGTACAATTGATCTGCCATGGTTAGCTGAGAACCATGCTTTGGCAGCAGGGCCTCACAAAGAGTAACCAACACATTCTTGGACAAGCTGTTCAGATATTTGAAAGCTCATTTTGATGCTGATTTTCAGCTGCATTACCCACATACCTCCAGCCAGCCCAACATAGGAAAGAGCTGCCTTAGCAGTACAAAAAGAAGCAGAAGCTACATTTTGGTGCCTTTTATAGTTTGGGAGCCAGGTTGTCCCACTTAGACCAATAACAAGTTGATGACCCTGCTCCAGATAAAAGACCATCAGACAGGAGAAGAATGCTGTATGTGCTATGGGTGGGGATGGAAGCTGGGGAAGGATTATAGCTGGTTTCATAGCTATGCGGCTTCCAGATCACTGGTTTGTAGCACTGCAGTAACCATGTGCGGGTCTTACCTGTCCTCTTCTGCTTTCTCAGTGATACTGAAGGACCTCATAGCAGTGCTGTAAAACAGATTTTAAAGCACTTGCTGAAAAAGAGGGGTGAGTCACCTACTAGGGCATACTGAACTGGAGGTGGTAGGTAACGTTTTCCAGCTAAAGGGAAACAGGAGTAGAAGATCAATTAATGCCTACTTGGAGTATGTGGGCTCTGTGAAAGGAGACATTTAGTGCCATGAGCTGCCCTTTTCATCTCAATAAGCTCTTAACCCTGAAGTGTAATTATGTATATATTAATGTCATTAATATATGCATTAATATATTAAAGGGAAAGTGCTTTTAGATCTTTTCCTGCGAATCAGAATTTTAACAAATTAGCATTTTCAGCTCCCAAATCCATAGATTTTGGGGTGCCTGAACCTCCAATTTCTCTTTCCCTTATTCCTTGATTAATGGTTTATTGTGGAAGATGTTGATATAACAAGGGGGATGCTGGAAACTACTACCAAGGCTGGGCAGGTCACTGCTGGGGCTGTGGCTGATTTTGTTCTCCTGATCATCAGAGAGCCACTCTTAATTTAGGATAATGGTATGGAAAATGTACCTCTGTTAATAGCTGCAGAGGAGCCAGAGAGTGTGTTTCCGCCAGTGGATTTGGAGACGTCTGGTGGCTGCCAAAGCATGTGGGTAATGCTGAAAGGTGACCAGACAGTGGCTCTGCTGATCTGAGCAGAGCCTTTCCACATTCAATTTGCAGACGTACATGGCTGCAAGACTTCTGGAACTGTCAGTGTTCATTACCTAGCCCCTTAGCTGCCTCTTCAGCTCTTTCATATCTATCTCCTCAGATGCCTCCCGAAGCCTTGGCAGCCCTTTCATCTGAAAGAGCTAGGGTTTTCGCTCACTTATTATACCATATTCTGATCTGAAAAAAAAAAATAAATCATTTGCTTTAATTATTAACAAAGCTTCTTTTTCCTATATTTGCCTAACTGGTGAAGTCAGTATGCATAATTCATGCTGAAAAGCGAAGACTTTATTCACTGAGAAGCTGGCAAGTGATGCTTTGGGTTGCTCACAGCGGAGTTCATGGCTCTCACAGCATAGATATATAGCTGTAGGCTTCACTGCATGCCCTGCCTGTTGTTTCATGCCAGGGTGAATCACTGCTCTGTACCTTGAATTCAGCTGCAGAGCTGAGCTGTTCCCACCCTGGGCAAGGCTGCTCCCTAAAACACTTAACTCACTAAATTTAAGCAAAGTGAGGGTTTCTCACTCTGCATAGCCTTAGAGGATATTAAACAGGAAGAAATACCAAAAAAAAAAGACAAAGTGCATCAAGGGAAAAAACAGCACAATTATACAGGGAACTGGTGGTGAACAGACCTGCCATAAGAGGAGGTAAAAAAATCTGTGTGAAACTCAGCCTGATGAGATGCATGCTGTTAAGAAACGTGTATTACAGAAAACAGCACTGCTCTCTGGAGGAGAAAGGAAAAAATCCATCAAGGCGTTCGAGTCTTTTTCCAGCATAAAATAAGTTTCACGGTTTAAAACTACAGAATCTCCTGCCCAGCTATAATTACAACACTGCAATTCTGCCTCAAGTACTGGCAGAAGAAATCAGACCTGCAGATATAAAAGGCTCTTGTCGTTTTGGTGACCAAATTACAAAGAAACTCTTCTTGGCAAACTCAGGCGGGCTTGTCAAGCCCCAAATATCGTGATTTGTAACAGAAATCTAAATATATCATCTTTTAATTATCTTAATGATGAGGCTTTCGCATTGGTCTCATTTCTCTGTTCTCCGTGGATTCACATTGGAATCATCCATGAGACTTGCACCTTTTTTTTAATGTAAAAGGGATTTCCTTTAGAAACCCTTTCTAAATGAAAACATGCAGACTCATGGAGATTGCAAAATAAGAGGGTGCCCATCAACAGCCAAGAGCTATTTTGCAGCCTGTCCAACAAAGCCAAAGAGCACATGCTCCCCCATTAGCCTGGTGAGGCCTCCTGGGCATTGCAACACTGGGAATAAAACAGTCTTTGAATACCAGCAGGGTTTTTTTTTAGTACTACGAGAACTGGAAGGCAGTGGCCACATTTAACATGATGGTGCTTGTACCTTGCCAGCCAATTGCTTGAGTAGTTTTATAACTGAATATTCAATTATGCCTAGGTTCTGATAAAAGCCTGGAGACTGAAGTGAGCAGGGTTTGTTCTGGGCTGCCCATTGAGCCACAGCTTTTGTCCCCTCTGCCACTCTGAATTCCTTGGCAGCTGAGGCCTGGATGGGTGCTCACCTAAGTGTTCTCTTTTGCAGAGGTGCCAACGGAGAAGCTGGCCTCCATGGCATCGCTACGGAGCCTCAACCTGCGGGCAAACCCTGTCGGTCCTGAGGTGCGGCTCCTGGTCCGGCCCCTTGTCCCCTTTGACCTGCTGCTGTCACCAGAGGAGCCCGTCCCCAAAGCCTGAGAGGGTCTTGGGGTGCAAGCTCTCCTAAGGGGTGACTGTCTGCGAGAGTGGTTTGGCTTAGGTCAGTCCCTGCTATGCCGCTATTTCTGTCCCAAACCTGCAGCGAGGCTGCCTTTCCCTCATTTTTCATTCATAAAAAGCAAGCAGAGAGGCTCCTCTGTGAAGGGATGGCTTTGCCAGCTCCTGAGCCAGGTAGTTTCCTGCTTTGTGCTTTAGGGAGCCAGAGGAGCCACAACACACACAGTGTGAGGTCTGGGTGAAACTGGGGGAGTTGGATGTTTGGCTATATCCCTCCTGCCTGGCTGGTGATGGGGAGCACCAAGGGCCAGGATGGTGGGGAATGTCCCTGCAGCTATAAGGGTTCCCCTTGGAACTGCTGACATAGCGGTGTACCAAGTGCCTGATTAAATGTTTTCTTGTTACATGGGGGTTTTGTATCTGCTTAAATTTGAATTACCAGTCTTCCCCTTAAAGAAGCCCCTTTGCACATCCCCAGGGCTGCTTTACTGCAGCTCAGGCTGAAGCCTCCAGCTGAATTCCACCCAGACCTGAGCAGTATTTTGCTGGATTCCAGGGAAATTGTTGGGGGGTTCCCCACATGGGTTTTTTTTCACTATGGAAATCAAAACAACCCAGTGCCAGTGGATCTCCACGCACTGCTCACCCCACGGGTGTCCCCAGAAGCATGCACCCACATCCTGGGTACTGTGGGTCTTTAAGATGTGCCACTTTCTCTGCCTGGAAGAAATGGGCTGTGGGGTTCAGGATGTGGTCCAGAGAGAGCGGGTCCTTGGTGGTGGGGAAGCCATTGCCAAGCATGCTGGTATCCCTTATAGCTGACAGCCTGCAAAACACCTCCTGGGAGTTGTTTCCTCGAAATGGCTTGTTAAAACATCTCTCGTGCTTACTCCTTTGGGTTTTTTGAGGGATAAATGCTCCCCAATAGTGTGGGCTGGCAGGGGGCAGCTAGGAATGGTTGCTCCTGTAAATATTTGACTTCTAGAGTTGCCAAACCCAATCCTTGGTAAAAGACCACGGTAAGAGGGGGTTTGTTGATGTTGGCAATGACAGAGGAGCTGGAGTCGAGCAGAGCAGCTTTGGGCTGGGACCAGCATCCCAAAGGATCATACTGCTTTTCCCCACTGTGTGGGTGATTTACATTGGGTGGAGAACAGTGGTCCCCCCAACTCGTGCTGGGGCTCCTAGCGTGCTTCCCCCCCCGGGGCAGACAGGAGCTGGCATCAGCTGGAGGAGAGGCAGTCAGCAGCAGCGTGGGAACCCCTGGGTGGCGGGGGGGACCCCGACCTTCCCCCGGGACCAAACCTGCCCCAGCTCTCTCCTTGCGCCCCCTCCCGCTGCCTCGGACGGGTGGGGGGGGTGCGTACCCCGGTATCCATGGCGATGGGAGGTTGTCCCCCCGCCGCCCCCCTCCGCTGCAGCCGCCGAGCAGCCGCAACCGGCTCGGCGGCACCAGCGGCAGCGCGGTACCGGCACCGGAGCTCGGCTCCGGGAGGGTGACTGGAGGAGGAACGGGGACAAATTCAGCAAGCTCCCCGGGCGGCAGACCCCCCAGCCCGCATGCCGGCGAGGCAGACCCCGGAGCCGGGCTGGGACAGCGGAGGTGAGTACAAAGATCCGATCTATTTTCATTCATTTCAAACAGATGTCCAGCCTCTTCAACCCCCCGCTCCCCTCTCCCTTCCGACCCTTATTCCATCAACCCAGTCTTTCCCTGTGGTGGTTTCCCTGAGCCAGGCGGGGAGACAGGTGACCCATCGCCCCCCGGCCGGTGTCCCCCCTTCTCCTCGTCACCGCGTCCCAGACGTCAGCGCCGAACGGAGGATGTCTCCATCTATCCAGCACCAACCGGGCACTTGGCAGCCCCTTATTTTCCTTTCCTCATCTTCAACCTCGCTTTTGAAATTGCCTGTGATTCTGTATGCATAGGATACCCACCTCCCACTAATGCCGCAAGACACTGTAGCCCAAAGAGATGAAGTCCAGCAAAGTTTCAGGCTTAATATCACAGGTTTCAGGCAATCTCATTAAAGTCTTTGCTATTACTTCTGCTAAAGAAGCCAGTTCATGTGGGTGCGTTTGATGCTGACCAGCTGAAGCATCTTGCTCCACTAGCCCTGATGTTTCCTTGCCTCTCTGAGAGGCTCCTTCTGTGCTGGTGCTGCAAACCCCTCTGGCACCTTTCTGAAGCTCCGCTGGAAACGTACTGGCAGAATCCTGCACCCAGAACAGTGGTATATTACCCAGGCAGCGCAACCCCTGTGTGACAGAGCCTCAGAGAAGCCAGGGGTCCCAGCAGCTGGGAAAAGCATCTTGGATGGCAAGCTGAGCACCGGCACAGGGCTGGGGAGATGATACAGCCGCCCATCATGCAGTGGCTTTGCAGTGCTTTCTCAGAGCAGTGCTGACCTGCCGGTGGTTAGGCTGAGCCTTAAAGCAAAAATATTCCTTTTATTGTCTTAAAATCGCAGCCTGGATTTGCCTGGAGCGAGTCACCACTGCAGGCAGCTCCTGCCTGCACACGGCATCCTCCTGTGTCCCTGTCTGCGTAAAGCAAAGCTGGGGAAACCCAAGGGTGGGTGCTGCGCAGACCTGCTCCCCCTTTTAAACCTGTAGTGACAAAATGTCATCCCCCTTCCATTAGAAGCTGTCAGGGTCCCAGATAACCATCATAATTATGTATAATTATTGCTTTATATGTAAGGGGACGGCAGGATCTTCCCTTCCCCAGCCCCTCTCCCTTGGGTACTGGAGCTTTGTTGGGGAGAAGATTTTAGGGGATCTCACATTGCAGACCTCATAAGCGCAAGGAGAAGCAGCAGCAGACACACAGGAGTAGGGGTGCTTCCAGGCTGGCTGTACTAGGGACCCACACTGCCAGAGCATTGCAGTGTCAAGACATGGGATTCTCTTCCCTGTATTATCCCTACAAAAATCCCATGAGGATAGGATGTCTTCTGTGCTGCTTTAATTCCTCATTAAAATAATGATATAAAATAATACTTCAGGAGGTGCTGCAGTACCTTGGGCTGGGCTGTGTAACCCGAGGAGGAGGAGACTTGTAGGGCCACTGAGATGATGCCAGTGGGACATGTCCCAGCCAGACTGGGCACTGGTGCAAATATGGAAGCCCACCTCCATATGATAAAGCATAATCGCTTTATCCTCTCCCAGCTTTGCTGTGATGCCTTCCTTCCCCCAGGCCCTTCCAATGGCAGCTGGCCCAACTCTACCACAAGCGAGAGCCACCTCCCAAGAGAGAACTACACCTTCCTGGCCTACTACCAGCATTCCTCCCCCGTGGCTGCTATGTTCATCCTGGCCTACACCTTCATTTTCCTCATGTGCATGATCGGCAACATCCTGGTGTGCTTCATCGTGGTGAAGAACCGCCAGATGCGGACGGTCACCAATGTGTTCATACTCAATTTGGCCATCAGTGACCTGCTGGTGGGCATCTTCTGCATGCCCACCACCTTGGTGGACAACCTCATCACAGGTGAGTAGAGGAGGGCAAGACAAAAACAGGGGAAGAGAAAATGGTGGGGAACATCACCCACCTTCTGCCCCCCGTATATGAGGCCACCCTGTGGGTGATTTTTTTGCTGAAGACAAAGAGGGCAGGTGGTGGCCACTCAACCACTTCTGATGAAAGGTATAATTCCATTTACAGCTACTATTTTAGGGGGAGTAAAACCTTTTTCTTTGAGGTTTTGGACCTTTTTTGGCAAAATAAGTGACCGTAATGGCACATTTACATATGTATTTAAAGTTCAGCCACTCTCTATCAAGCAAACGTGAAAAATCCCCTCTTCTTACATTGATCTTTTCCTGTGCTGGCTCAGCTCTGCCCGTTGACCTTTACAAAGATAAAAAGTCACAGTGGCACAGTTGATGGAGTTTAACCACAGCAGTAGCTGGGCACAGGGCAGAGTCTGTATTTATTATGGGGCGTGATTTATTTATTGCCAACACCATAGCATTGGGATCAAGAAACAAGACAAAAGCCCTTCTGATTGAGGATCACGAGGTCAGTCCCCATGAAAACACCCCAAGCCCTACATAAGGGTAAGAGAAATTACAACTGCTATGCTTCTTGAGCTTCTAAGAAATGTAACATGCATCTTTTTTACCAATTTTGGGTTTTTCCCCCCCCAGCATCTATTGTTAAAGGCCATTTCTGTAAGAGCCAAAATGCACACCCCCCTTAGGAGCAGGATTTAGCAACCCCCAGCAACAACACCGTAGATGGGGACATCTGGAGGGAGCTGGTGATGTAATTGTCCAAGCCAAAGGTACCTACAACCTCCATGGTGTCCCTTCACAGGTTGGCCCTTTGACAACACCATGTGCAAAATAAGTGGCCTCGTGCAGGGCATGTCTGTCTCTGCCTCTGTTTTCACGCTGGTGGCCATCGCTGTGGAGAGGTATGTTGGCATGAACATGTGGGGACATGGGGTCCTAGCCACCTCCAGAGTGTTATGGTATCCCACGTGGTTTCCATCACGGGAAATCTCCTGGGGACATCATGAGTGTGTCCCAGATCTCCTGGAGGATCACAAAGTTACCCATGGAGAATCCCAGCACGGTGTCCTTCCCCACCTTGAGCTGAAAACACCAAATCTGGAGAGATCCCAACCTATCTCTGTCACCAAAAGCCCTGTGTAAAGAGAAACCCACCTTATCCTCCCCTCCCACCCCTGAGTCCTGGCTACCCTCCTTCCTCAGAGACATCCCCCCGGGTGCCCAAAGCCACCAATGCCTGCCCTCCCACAGGTTTCGCTGCATCGTCCACCCCTTCCGGCAGAAGCTAACACTGAGGAAAGCCCTGGTGACCATCGCCATCATCTGGGTGCTAGCCCTGCTCATCATGTGCCCTGCTGCCATCACCCTGACTGTCACCAGGGAGGAGCACCACTTCATGGTGGACACCTATAATAACTCCTACCCCCTCTATTCCTGTTGGGAGGCCTGGCCTGAGACGGGGATGAGAAGGATCTACACCACTGTCCTCTTCTCCCACATCTATGTGGCTCCCCTTGCCCTTATTGTCGTCATGTACGCCCGCATTGCCTTCAAGCTCTTCAAGTCAGTGGCACCTGCCCATGGCCAAGAGGAGCCAGAGGGGAGGAAAGTCTCCCGGAGGAAGGCCAAGGTCATCAACATGCTGATCATCGTTGCCCTCTTCTTCACTCTCTCCTGGCTGCCCCTCTGGACACTGATGCTGCTGACGGACTATGGCCAGCTGAGCGAGGGTCAGCTCCGCCTCGTCACTGTCTACGTCTTTCCCTTCGCCCACTGGCTGGCCTTCTTCAACAGCAGCGCCAACCCCATCATTTACGGCTACTTCAACGAGAATTTCCGACGGGGGTTCCAGGAGGCCTTCAGAGCCCCCATCTGCTCGCTCCACTGCCATCACCAGCACCACCACCATGGGCCCTACACCTCTAGGAGCCATGGGATCTTCTTTGGTGCCCGCAACCGTGTCTTCACGCATGCACGGGCCAGTGATTCACCACCTGCCTCTGAGTCAGGGCCATTGGCACCACGCCGCACCGGTGTTCATGCATGGGACAGCTGAACAGCCATGGCACCAAGGGCCTGCGGGGTGGGAAACGGGGCTTCTCCACCTCATGAACAGGTTGCCCAAAGAAGTTGTGAATGCTCCATCCCTGGCGGTGTTCAAAGCCAGAGCATTGGGCAACATGGTCTGGTGTGAGGCATCCCTGCAGGGGGGTTGGAACTAGATGATCTTAAGGTCCTTTCCAACCCAAACCATTCCATGATTCTATGGGCCGTGAGTCACTCAAATAAAGGCGCATCCTGCTGATGCCACATCCCTGCCTTTTGCTCCTCTGCTTTCCACACCACCACCATCACAGATTGGGGGTAGAAGGGGGGGGCCACCAGCCAAGTTCCCTGAGGAATGCCAGGCCATGGGGAGAATGGGCTGTCTGGCGACATGGAGAATCACGACGTGCTTTATCACGACATTCGCCACGAGACTCCGCGCCCCTCCTCTGCCACGCCACGCCAACAGCGGCTTCCGCGGGTGGTGCTAAGGCCCGCGCGACGGGGGGCGGAGCATGCGCAACCACCTTGGCGCGTGCGCAGTGGCCACCCCCGGAGCCCCGGGGGCGCGGTGCAGCGCGTCTGCGCAGTGCGTAAGCGGCGGGCTGCGCGGCAAGCATGGCTGGGTACAGCGTGGAGGAGCGCGCTGCGCCTCACAGCTTGGAGTACCGGCTCTTCTTCAGTGAGTCCCCGCCGGCTTCTCTGTCCCCTTCCTTCTCTTTGTCCTCCCGGTGTGAGGGTTGGGGTCTGAGGTGCGCCCTCTCCACAATGTGAGGTCTCCCCCTCAGGCCGCGCCTGACTTGCACCCTTTTGCCTTGCAGAGGATGCCGCCGGGTGTTACATCTCCCCCTTCCACGATATCCCCATCTACGCGGATGCCGGCAAGGTAAGGGGAGAGAGACCGGCGCGAAGAGCACTCGGTGGTTCGTGCGGCCCCGTCGGCTGGGGGGCTGTGACAAGAGAGACCGCTGGATCTCTGGGTGTGAGCGTTGGTGTATCGGTGCTCCGCTAGGAGAGTGGTCCTGCGAGCCTGGAGTACCTGAGAGAAACTCCCGGTCCGTTGCACTGCTTCTTGGCAGGAGCACCTAACAGAAGCATCGTCAGATCTTGCAAAGACTTTACCCCTCTTTTGGGTAGAGTGACGTAGGAGAAGAGAACAGGTGATCTGCTTCTCATGTTTGTGTCTGAGATACGAGTGATTGTCTTGAATTTGCCCATGAGACCACGTGAAAGGATTTTGGGTTAAAAGAATCGGTTTACTCTTTACCTAAATATCTACATCCATGCCCATGGATGATTTTTCAGGCTTGGGTTTTGACTGCAGTAAACTCACTTTATAATCAGCTGCTGATCAGAAGGTAGGGATGTTAAATTCTTGCTGTAGCAGCTCTCGGGGAACCTCTTGCCTCACAAGAAGTGTAGTGTTGCAGGGCTTTTACATCCTTCCCTCAGCTGGTGGTTAGGCAAATTAGGCTGTTCTGAATCACTGCCTAAGTGCCCCAGCTCTAGGAAGCTGAAACGGCTGTTTCAGTTTTCACCGGCTGCTCTGTCAGGGCTCTCTCATTGTGTTCCTTACCTTGGTAGCTCATTTCTCCTTTTAACACATACTGAAAAGCTGTGCAGTTTGAGAAACGGGGTGGATGAAACATGGTGTAATTTGGAGATACAGAGTAGATATGGCAAAGGAAGAGTATGTAGAACTGAGAAATGAACCTCTAAAAAGTACCTGATTGAGCTTTGAGGTGCAGGTATTGTCAGAATTTGCTTTGGGAAGCCTGACATGGCTTTTGACTGCTCAGAAGGGAAAAGACAGGTTGTAATCATCAAGGACAGTGGTGAAGCAGTTTCAGTGGCTGACTGAGAAAGCAGTTTTCAAAAGCAGGTATCTGAAAGGTAACTCAGGGAAGGCAAATCCAGGTAACACTACACTCTGCAGACACAGAACAGGGGGGGAAAGAGCAGGGGAGTGAGCATAGGGGTGAGGAGGGTTTCTGTGGACTGGTAACACTTAACAAGGGAAACTGGACTGCTGGGGTTCACTTCAGTTGCTTAGTACTGCTTGCCAGCGTGTTGATGCCAAGTCATTAAGAGAAGCAAGAATCACTGAAGGTCAGTCCCTGAAGTTACACAATCACATTAGACCTCTTTCTGTTGCTGAAGTGACTCTCTGCAGAGATTTTACTTGTTAATTAGTAGGTTCATTGCCAGCTAAGGTAGGAAGCCCAGCTAGGAGCAAAAGGTTGCTTTACCCTGTCTGGGCTCCTTGATCTTTATCCTCAGACTTCTAAGACACTGAGAGGATTGCAGGGTGGAGTTGGTTTTTTTCAGTCTAGGGCTCAGATGTGCTGACCTCATCTGTACCTGTGTGTCTTGGCATTGCGAAGGAATGACCTTGGGCTACTTACTGGGTCTCTTGCACCAAGGCAGATTTGTAAGATCAGTTGTGGGAAAGCTGCAGGCCTAACAGAGATGTAACCCCAAGTTATCTTTCCTTGCCTGCAAGGCCATAAGCACCCAGCCTAGCCAGTTACAATTACCTCATTCCTTTCCTCGAGCTACTTGTAAATAAAAATAGTATATGCCTTTTCACATATAGATTGCAAGTGAACAGTAACCCCCTGCAATTAAGGGATGTAATAAACTTGTGTGAGGAAAAGGTGTGGGCAAAGTCAGTGATGTAACAGCACTTGTTGCACAATGGCAATCTAATTATGGCACGATACAGGTTTGAGGGGCTTTGCAAAACTAATAATAGTGCTTAAGGTGGGGGATTAGAAACCTTGCTAATGCTAGAGAGCAAGGTTTGACTTTTTGTTAAAAGCTGTAATCTCTACAAACAGCAAATGTTAATATTCAGGCAAGGAAAAGCTTGTTTTCTTGAGGAGGAGCTTGACATTGAACTGTTGAAAGTCCTCTCAGCCCAGCTGGAGTCAACAGTGGATGTTACCAAGTATCACCTGTAAGCTAGGTACTGCAAGATGTGGTTCTGTTTCTACCCTACATCTTTATCCTTGCACCATGCTGCTAACAAGGTCTGCTTTTATAAGAGTGTCAATTTGGAGTGGAGGAGCTCATGCATCTTTCCCTGCTTCAAGAGAAACTAGAATATTAAAGAGTAATGTTCTCTGTTGGTGAGAATAGTACATAGGTACCCATGTTATTAACTAGATGTCTTACTCCTACCAACTGTATCAAAACTGTCACTGGGAGGGAAAGCTTATGGTTTTCTTGTGAACTGGCTGTCATGCTTACTTATATGTGTCCCTAGTTTAAAGTGTGGTCTTGAGGTTCCTTCCCATTCACTGATATTTTGCTTTCTTCAGAATGTGTTCAATATGGTTGTGGAAGTACCTCGATGGACAAATGCTAAAATGGAGGTAATTATATTACAGTTCCTAGCTAAGTGCTTTATCTGACTAGTGTAATAATCTTTGGCTTTGCTGTTTTTCTCCTCCTTACTTCCACCGTGTGAATCTGAGCAGTTTCTAACTTCTTGTGCAAATACTTCCTTGATGCTGAAGGTTTAGTATGGAGTCTGAGACTTGCAGAAGTTACAATAACTTAGTAGTCTTCTGTGGCTTCCGATAAAAGCGGCATCTTCTGGCTCTCAACCCCATGTGTTTCTGATGTTTGTAAGTTTGCTGAAAACTATATCCCAGGAGATGGCAATGCAACAGGAAACTGAGTTATTCAATATCTGCTGTAGGCTTGAGGGTCAGCTCCTGGTCTCTCGGCTTGTCAGTTAATGGCCAGCTTCATTAAAAAAAATGTAATTAAATTCTTGGTTTTTCTTAGAACAGAGTGGAGAGATTTCTTTAACTTTTCTTTCAGATTGCAACAAAGGATCCTTTAAACCCAATTAAGCAAGATGTGAAGAAAGGAAAACTGCGCTACGTAGCTAATGTGTTTCCCCATAAAGGTTATATCTGGAATTATGGTGCTATTCCACAGGTACTATGATTTGTCTCGGTGGCTCATCCTTTCTGCTTGGGAGGAGGGAAGATGACTGTGTGTGTCTGTGACTACCACTACATTAAGGAGCAAAAGGTTGGCTGAGAGTCTGATCTGGAGCACAGCATTTGTAGCTGAATATGTAGTCTTGATAATGAAGAGAACTTGTTAGGAAAGCAGGGGTACTCTTAAGTAGAAATCTCAAGGGTTAGGTTTGTAGCTCATGCTGTGAACAATTTGTTTGAAGATGAGCAACTGTTGCGCCTCTCCTTGACCACCTAGCAGTTTGGTTGGACAGTAGCTGGCAGGTCCTTGTCTTTAGATCAAGGAAGGTGTCACTACAAAAGGAACAGAGCATCTGGCAATGCAATGCCCTCAGTTCCTGCCTGGTGAAGCATAAAGAGCTAAAGTTTTAAACTAATGGTACAGAATCTCAGTGTACAGCCCTTAGGCTTAATCTTTACAGATGATTCTTCTTGCAGTGAATTAGCTGATTGCTTTAGGCTTTGAATGTGGGCCACAAAGACCTGAAGACTGTATCTTTCACATTTCTGCCCCTCTTATTGTTCAGGGTCTAAAACACACAGCTAGACTAATGTATTGACCTGTTGGATGATAGTGCATGCCCTGTTCTCAGTGTTGGTTCTCAGTGGCAGAAAGGCACTCGAAAGCCCTGAGACTGTGCGCAAACATGCTTTCTCTGAAACATCTGGTAAGGTGGGACTGACAGACTGTGACACCTGGATGTATGCTCTTAACTGGCTGGTGACTGTTAGGTAAAGAGGACCTTTGAGCAAGGCTGTTTGCCTCTGATGTTCTCCAAGGTTTGAGCTTCCTTTAGAGAAATAAATTCTCAGTGACAGTTCACAGGGCAACACACTGAATTTCACAGCTGTAGTCTTGATAGCAGTGCATGTCAAGTGTTCCCTCCAAGTGGGTTAAGATGGTGTTTCAAAGTTGAATTGTTTTCTACTTGGATGGATTCTGGAGCCAGGTTTTTTTTTGTACAGAATTACAGCTTTTGAAGCCTTAGTCATGTGTTAGTGATTCAAGGTTGTGTATGCACCAAGGACAAGGGACTGAACTTAACGCTTCCTTGCAGAGAAGTGTGATGGCGATTGTGAAGAGTCCTTCAGCACCACCCAGGTTTCAGTACATCTTCCTGAGTGCTCTGGATGCATCACAAGGTCTTGACTACTTCAGTTGTGTCCTGGCATGCAGAAATTTGGAAAAAGCATCACTTCTTTTTATATCTCAATAGCCTTAGAGGTAGATGCTCCTTACAGTGTAAGCAGGCACAGTGTCCTTTTGCTCCTGATCAGAAGTGTGTTTTAAGCAGCTATTATTTTTGGAGGCATAGCTGACAAGCCTTTTGGAGTCCTGCCTTTCAGCTTATAGTCGCCACTTTAGGTGAGATGCACTAGGACACTGGGTAGCCCAGGGTATGGGACTCTGCATTCCTGTCACTGCTCTAGTGTAACAACATGTCTTTAATTGTTTAATTAAAAGGAAACAATCCACCCTGTCTGTCTTCTGTCTCTGGTGGACTGCTATCTGGAGTTCAGGAAACTTCTGTTAAGACATGAATAGCGAGAGGAATAGGCAGGCAGCCAAATCAATGAATGTTCTTTATAGATGTGAACTTTACCTTTATGTAGCTGTGCAATGGAGGAGGAAGTCTGGAAAGTTGTTGAAAAATGGTTTGTCTGTAGGAGGGAGCAGTTTACTTTGGCAAGATAAGACCTTTTAGTTTGGATTCAACCTGCTCTTTCAGGCACAAGTGAAATAGTAGCCCAGCCACTGTATCTGAAAGCTTGTGTGAAGTGGGCCATCACCTGTATTTTGGAGGCAATTGCATGTCTGAAATAAACCTGCTTTTTATTTCCTCTTGAAACTGGAGAGTTCTTACTTGTGTAGGGTTTTCTTGTTTGGTTGGTTCTCTTTTTTTCAGACTTGGGAAGATCCAGGTCACAAAGATGAAAATACTGGCTGCTGTGGAGATAATGATCCAATTGATGTGTGTGAAATTGGAAGCAAGGTAATGTGTTCTAAAGGGTAACTCTCTTTTGAAACATGTCATTAACGTCTCTGAAGTCAATTATCCAGAGACATTATTCCGTTCCTACCTCCTCTACTTTAAGAATGTTATTTTTTTCCCTTCACCGTCTCTGGAGATTGTTGATGAGGTCTTACAGCACAAGCCATGTGAGCCAAGGATTATGAACTGCTGATAAGTTATACCTAATTTCCTGGTACCCACTGCTTGCTGAACTTTCATAGCTCACAGAGTTTCCTTTTGTGCATTCCTTGAATGCATCAATACAGACAATAAGGTCTTTGTCCTTTCAGGTCTGCTCTCGAGGAGAAGTTATCAAAGTGAAGGTGCTGGGCACTCTGGCACTGATTGATGAGGGTGAGACAGACTGGAAGATAATTGCTATCAATGTTGAAGACCCTGAAGCAGACAGCTATAATGGTAAGTAACAGGAGGGAGGAGCAGGCTTAGTTGAGAGCCTGTAGGAAACTTTCAAATCAGGACGTGGGCTTGATCCTTCTATGCCGTGGTATTAATCAGCTGTGATCCTGGAAGGACAGCAGAACAGGATGTTGTCAGTCCTATATCAAAACATTTTACTGTTTATCCCAAATCGTTTGCCTCCTGCACAGCCTGGCATCTTGAAGAAGAGAGTGGTTGTAAAGTCTGTGCTCTGAGTGGAAGGAAAGGGATTGTCCAGTAAGTCTCTAATCAAAGCTGTTGAAATGAGTCCATGCTCCTGGGAGCAATCAGGACGTACTGTGAATACGAAACACTAACTTTCTTGGGCAGATACCCACTTTGTGTCTTTACTGTAACTTGTATGAAATGTCGCAAAGGCTACTTGAGGAGGGGCTGAAAGAAGGGCAGCTCAGAAGAGCCGGCAAGTAACTAAGTACCTTCTGTCACTAGGCCTGGCTAACAAACCTTTTCTCCCTGGCTAGATATCAGTGATGTCAGAAGAATGAAACCTGGATACTTAGAAGCTACTGTGGACTGGTTCAGAAGATACAAAGTACCTGACGGAAAGCCAGAAAACCAGTTTGCTTTTAATGGCGAATTTAAAGACAAGGTAGCATTGCCTTTCTTAGTTACTGTGAGCGTGCAAAGGCACCTGGTTCACAAACTGAGCTCAGGGACACAAATGAGCAGTTGCTGAGAGAATGGATTTCTATGAGGCTGCTAATAGTTGACTTAATTCTTCCTGCTGTTTTCCAGCCTACCGTTCAGCTTGTTTCCAGCCTAGTGCTTGCAGGAATACTAGGAGAAAAAGCATAGTGTTATCAACCTGCTACTGTTGGATATTATCAGTATTTCTTTTAGATGACATTGATGTGAGATCACTTAAGGACTGGGAGCCTCTCTGTCAGAACCAGGATGGAAAACACCAGGTTTATTTGCTCGTGCTTTGGGTCAAGGGTGCTTGACATCACCCTTTGCCTCCCTTGCTCACTGGCTTTGTTCCACTGCAGCCTGGTACAAGTTGAAGTGCACAGAAGTTAAAATGCCTCTTTCTTCAGGCATAAAATGTTTCCTCACACCCTTTGAGTAAGGCTCTGCTGTGGCAGTATTGTACCTCTGCCTCTTCTCTGGGTTGGGTCAGATAACTTACGGTTCCTGAGTGGGTGAAATCCTGCCTCTGCACCCTTCCTCTTGCCAGTCCTGCTGTGCCTTGAGTGTGTTAGAGAGGTGACTCAACTCCCAGAGCTCCAGAGTTGGTGCAGAGAAGGGGAGGGCCTACAAAGCCCCGCCTGGGAAGGAAAGGGTAAGGAAGGCTGAAATGGAAGTCATGTAGGAGTGGACCTGTCCCCATAGACTTTAGCACAGCTGTAGCTTGGGTGGGCTGGGACATCTCACTGCCTCTCTGGATGGGTGGAACCAGAATCAAAGCCAAATTGTAAAATAGGCACAAATAACCTTGCACATTTATGCAGTGTTTTACTTGGCTCTGTATGGTATCAAACCAGGATATTTATTACTGGTGTTGGTGCAAACAAAGGATTTTGTGTGCTTCCTTCTTCAGCTGACAGGTTAATGCTTGAGCATATAGCACTTTTTCTTCTAAGGGAAAAAGCTGTGATATGCTTGAAAGCAGATTCATTATGAAATAGTTGCAAAGCCAGAGTAGGGGCATGTCTCTTCCTGTTGGTCTGCACAGCAGCTGAATGATTGACCTGGAGTGGAAAAAAGCTCACAGGTATGCTGAGATCAGCTAGCTGCTGGAGGCAGGCTGAGAGGAAGGACAGCAGAGTGGAGATGCTTGAATAATACAGCACTGGCCTGAGACTAGAATATCTGTGTTCAGTTTCTTTTGGCCTCAAGCTCACTAGGTGACCTTGGCATATCCTCCTATCTTGAAGTTAAACAGTTCGTGTTGTAAATCTCTGTTGTTTCAGCTGTTGTATGCTGGGAGGTTGCTGTTGTTCCTGAACGGTGCAGTAATAGAAGAGGGCTAAGAGTCCCTTCTAGAGTCAGAAACCATCTAAAATCAACTTATAAATAGTGGCCCATTGTTCCATGTAACTGATAGTCTGGAGAATATGGTCTAGTGCTTACCCATAACATGATGTTTGTTCGCATCTTCCCCTTTTAGGATTTTGCTGTGAACGTCATTAAAAGTACTCATGAACACTGGAAAGCTTTAATAGCAAAGAAAACTGATGGAGGGGAGATCAACTGGTAGGTTAATGGTTGTGGTACTTTACACATTCCTTTCGCTTAAACAAATAACACCAAAGCTGCCTTTCCTGAGTGGTGCTATGCTTCCTGTTAGCTGCCGGCTGTCTCTGCAGACCTCCCCCTTCAACTTAGCAACTGTAACAGTGATTCTTAATATTCCATTATTTAATAATCTTGGGAGAGAGACTTGGCTTTCACATTCTCACAACTGACCTGTCTCTTCTAGCACAAACCTGACGGTGTCCAACAGCCCCTTCTGCTGTAGTCAAGAGTGTGCAAAAGCTACTGTGGATGCAGTAAGTACAGATTTCAGTATCCTAACCCCAATGTTAGTACTGGGCAAAAGAATACTATTTGTGTGGTTAACTGTCCTCTCTGTGTGAATAGTGCATTGTATGCTCAGAACAGCACCTGTTTCTGATTGAATAGGATGTATGTGAAACAAGCCAGACTTTCCTCTAGAGGCTTCTCTTTGCCCTTAAGTCATCTGGGAGATGGAATCCAAACCAGAGTTTGCATGAAGGTCTAAACTTCAGCTTGGCTTCCAGCTGTTTAGATAGGGTTTAAATATTTGGCCTTCCAAGAGCTTCACAGTACAGGTCGTCATTTGACAAAAGGAAGACTAACTCCTGAGAGCCTTGCAGCCAGGGCCCTTGCATTCTTTGCAATGAAAACCTTAAAGTTCCCAGTGTAGAACTCATATGTGGTTTCAGGGCTTAACTGCATCTCCCTACAAGTGTGATGTGCTGCTGGTAACTTGAAAAGGTGCTAGAGAACTGGGACAGAAGAATCAAAATGCAAATGTTGCCTCAGTATATGGAAATGTGACTGGAAGCCAGAGTCTCTCCATAGCCTTGGTGGGATTCTCAAAGCTATTGCATTGGTTTAAAAAGTGCTTGTATTCTCTGGTGGTATCCACATTACTTTTAAGTTTTTGAAAGTGCAGCCCTCATGGAGGATGTGTCACCAGCCAGGGTCCGTTGCCTCCCTTTGGTTGCTAAGTAGCAGGTGAAAGCTCTTCAGAGAAGTTTTGTGAGAGTCTCTTGTACTTCTGTTCCACCATCACATTGTAGGTTCAGAAAAAGCAGGCTGCCTGCAGCTGTATTGATGCTGGAGCAGTAACTGCTTGTAGTGAAAAGCAGATGGCACTGCAGCCTGTGCTTAAAGCAGAGCACCTCTGTCATGTAGGACATCTATGGAATGAGGAGGCTGTGGCGATGACAGGACTTGTGCTGCATGTGAACTCATTTACTCCCTCACAGCTGACCAGAGCTGGCTGCCACAGACCAGCTCATGCTGCTTAGATCTTAAATGGTGCTCATTAAAGACTTGTGAAGTTCTAAATGATGTCTTGTGAGCTTTGAGTGTAAGGTCAACCTCTGTCAGCAGCTGCTGTCTGCTAATGCACTTCTTGTTTTAGGCACCACCGTGTAAAGCTGCCAACCCAATCCCACCTGAAGGTGAGTCTCAAAACCCACATTTATATTCCAGTACTGAGTGGTGACTTCCTCAAAGGAATTATCAGTAGGAAAATGAGGGTCTTAGCTGATGGCTGGGTTTGGCTCTAGCACCAGGAGAAACAAATGGCCTTCTTGGACCTAACTTGTGTCAGTAATGCAGTTTAATTTCTGAATAACATCTGTTGTTGCCTTACTCCTTTGTTTGAGTACATAAGGTGGGTAAATGAGTGGTAAGATAGACCTGAGGTGTAGTAGTTTGCTTCAGAAGAAGCTGGCTTGTCCTGAAAGAGCCCTGCAGAGGACTGAAGTGCAGTGATAACAGGAGAGCAGTTTCGTTGGCTCTGCAAGTTGGGTTTCATCAGTATCCTTAGTGCAGGCGAGCCAAGGAAGGAAAGTACTCCCTACCCACACAGAACAGAGGCAGAAATTGGATGCACATTCAGTACTTCAGTTGCAGAGTTACACAACTCTGTAACAATGCAATGGCTGTAGGATGAATCCTCACTCAGCTGTCATCTTTTCCTTCCATGTGAGGTTGTGGTGGGTTCCTTGCATGGGAAGCCTGTACATTGTAGCAGGGACAAAACCCATTGGGAATCCACAGTTGTGTGGCAGAAAGAGGAGGTAGGCTTTCATTTGCAGTCTTTCCATGGGCAATAAACTTAGGAAGAAATTTATGTCTTCTGTGCAGACAGGGGAGTTGGAGGCAAAATGACTTTGTCTCCCCAAGCCAGCTGAGACAGAGGGAAGCCAAGCTAGCTCTGGCTTGCTGTCTCTGCTCACCTGAACTGAATCATGCCTGGGTGCTCCCAGTGGCAGCCTGAGTGAGGGTGGCTTCTTCAGCAAAACAAACCCATGTAGGCAGGGTCACACACAAACCTGTTTGCTGGGTGGTGGAGTTGTTGACAGGAGCAGTGGAGGTGGCATGCAGTGCTGTATGACTACTTAAAAGTGCGTAGCTAATGAAGGAGTAACCCCCTCATGGTTTGTTTGGTGTTTTCTGACCCTTGCAGTTGACAAGTGGTTCTACTACCAGAAAAACTAAGGCCTGGTACAGCTGTGTCCTTTGCACTACGGAGTCACCACATCTGGGAACAGACCAAACCATAGCTTCAGTGTCAACACCAAGGAGACATTGCCTGTATCTTTGCTGATTAGAATTCTGTATCTAGCAGTGACGTGTCTGCTGCACTGAGGTCTGGTGGAGGCTAGAAGCCCTAATTTATAAAACCATACCACCCTGCTTGTGCGTTGTTGCGCAGTGTACTTTGTAAACCCTGACTGAAGATCACTCACCTGGTACGTGTATGGATACTAGAAATAAAAACTACTGCAACAGCACTGCGGAGCTCCCTCTCCTTTCCCTCCATGTAACAGTCTCACACCCCTGGGTTCTGTGATGGGGTCTGATAGCGGAGGAGTTTCTGGCTAATGCGTTACCGTGTCCCTCAAAGGGACTGACCCTCCCTTCGGAGGAGGGGGTGTGAGAAGCGCCGGGGGCCGGTCTCGAAACCGGCTCCTCCAGAACTTGGCGTTACCCCTCGGGGGCGGCCTCGAACCCTCGGCCTCCTGGTGCGGCGGCGTGGCGTCAGACGTACGGCCGACGTGGGAAGCCAGCGCGGCGAACCCGCCGGGCCGGAAGTGGGTGGGGGACGCAGTGCGGCGTATTTCCGGCGGGGAGCTGGCGGCTGCCGAGGAGGGGAGTCGGTGGCGCGGCGGCCTGGGAGTAGCCGTAGGTGAGCGGCGGCGGCGGGGCCTGTGGCACCGGGGGGGAGCCTGCGGGCGGCGGGGGCCGGGATGTGTTCGGGGCGGAGGCGAGGGGTGACACGCAGGCAGGGCGGGGGCGGGGGCTAGGCCGCGCCGCCCGCCCTTGAGGCCGCCGCCAGGGCCGCTTCCCCTAACCCCCCACCGCCGCGGTCCCTGCTGCCGCCCCGAGCACGGGTTAGGGGAGCCCTCCCGGGGGGTGGGGTTGTTACTCACCGCTCCTGCCGCCGGGCCGCGCTCGGACTCCGGAGCCCGGGAGGGGAGCGGGACCTGCTCCAGAGTGGCAGCATCCCACAGCGCGGGCACGCCGCCGGCTGGCGACCCCTGTAACCCTGTTTTTTTCCCCGCAGGCGAGTAATCTTCAGCGATGTCTTTCATTTTTGAATGGCTGTACAACGGCTTCAGCAGCGTCCTGCAGTTTCTAGGTAAAGCCACATTATGTGGGTTAAAAAGCTCAGCTCGGGCTGTGGTGGCTGCTCTTGAGTCAGTTTGGCTTCTCCCATTTGCCAGCATCACTTAAGAGCTGGTGATTAAGGGATGTTTCTTTCGGAGTATGCAATAGCTCTGGCTAGGATGAAGTCTGATAAGAAAGCTGCAAATCAGCAAAGGGTATTTTACACTAGGGGGAGAAACTTTCAGAATATCTGGAGGTGTTGGCCTCCCACTCAATCCTTCTCTTGCCATTTACAAATGCGAGAGCAGCTGGGCTGATGCCAAAGCCCTGTGTAGCCCAGGGCCCTGCCCCGGGCAGCTATGCTGCCTAGCCAGGGAACCCTGTCTTCCTCCTCATGGCATCCAAGATCACCAGCCCTACTGCTGTAGCTCTCTGGCTTGCTGCTTCTCCTCAAATTATCACTTCCTACACCAAGCTACCAGTTCTGTGACATGCCCTGGGGAGCTGCTGGC